TGGAATTAGAAATTAGTTGAACATTGATATCATAGAAAATATGTTAGTCCTTTACTTTAAAATTTTAGACTATAAATGGTCAATTTATTCATCAATCGACTTGGTGGTTGGCAAACAGCCGATTAATCATTTTCTCTTTTCAATTGGGGGAAATTTTAGTAGTAAGTGCAATAGAAATTTGAATAATACTACACATACATCATTCCCATACAACATTTCTCATACAACATTATGTGGCAAGATGTGATTGGATGAAAGTTTAATTTTAACTTTAAATTAATCAATCATATCTTGCCACATAATATTGTATGGAAAATGTTGTATGAAAATGATGTATGTGTAGTATTACTCTTTTCCATTCCGCAATTATATTCCTTCTTTCATTGACTTGACTTGATTACCATAGGAGTACACGGTGGGACATAAAACAACTATAAATATTTAGAACCTTGACCCATAGCAATATTCCAGGAAAGCTCCTTTCAACTTTTTTGCAGAAAAAGGAGGTTCTGGACCTACTTTGGAAAATTGGTTGCCAGGTCAAGGGAGAGCGACATTTCCCCCCCAAGGTTTGGCGAAACGACACTTGTCCACCTGTCAAGTTTCAAAATGACAATTTTCTATCCTTTGTCAGATTCTGTTAATGTTTTTAGTTAATATTTAACTAAAAAGATGAAAATACCCTCAAATAGTTTATTTCTTAATTAGTTTATTATTAATTAAAATTTTGTTAATTCAAAGTCTTTACTCTCGATTATTTATTAGTTCAAATGTAAATATATCTTTTTTCCTTTGTTTATTTAATTAATTAAGAATATTGATTTTATGTGTTAATTAGTTTATATTATCAAAAACATTATAAATTTAGTAGATTATTAAATAATATTGATGAGATTATAAATAAATAAATATTAAGGTCTTTTAACTTTAAACAATCTTATAGCATTATTCCTAACTTTTTAGGTGGGGTTAATTATTATTATTATTTTTTACTTTTTAATATTTGATTTTTTGGCTAGTTAAAAAATAATAAAAAATTTATGAAGTCAACTATTTAAGGTATTTTCGTCTTTTCAGTAAAATATTTACGGAAAACATAACAGAACCTAACGAAGGGTGGGAGAGTGTCATTTTGAAACTTGAAGGGTGGGAAAGTGTCGTTTCAACATACCTTGGGTGGGAAAATGTCGTTCTCCCCCAGGTCAACACGTAAGCAGAGAAATATGAGATTGTTTCTTCCCTTCTTTTCTTTGATCTATTTGCTATAGCAATCAGGCAATTAGCAACCATTAAGATTAGGTTCTTTTTTAATATCAATTACTAAAATATTTATATGTTAAAATTAAGGTAAATGAAATAGTAGAGTATTCTTAAAAAGTTTAAATCTTAGGGAGTTATAAATATATAGAAGGGGAAACAGGGGAGGCGTGGGTCATAATATCCCTAGAAAACTTTATAAAAGGGGTTTATGTTTAGAAATAAAGAATCGATCAGTTTGTGCCCAAATAACAACACTCTAAACAGGTTTGAATTTGAATATTAGAATCCAAAACACATTTATTAGTCTAATCAATAATCAATTACCTAATCCATTTATTTATAAATTTTGTGTCAATCAAATAGCCAAGAATAGACCAAACTAATTAATTAGTGCCAACTTTTTTTTTTTTTTTTTTTTGTTTAATTGACTCCCAATGTCCACAGTGCAAGGGAAAAAAAAAAAAATTAATTAACTGAATTTCCTGGAACTTGTACGCGGAAAGTGAAGTCCCAGCTACTTTTCCAAATTGTCTTCTAGGACTACCAGAAGCGTGGCTGCCACGAATTAGTTCATCAACTTCAAATCGAATTAATATTGTCCATCATCATTAATTGAATATCTTAATTTGATAAATTTTTTATTCAAAGGCTTTTTACAAGTAAATGTAAGAGTTTGAATTTTTGAGCTTTGACTCTGATACTCATTTTAATTTCTTTCTCTTTATTAAGTTCATTTTTTTAAATATATAATCCTGATAGGGACGTCTTATATATAATAACCATATTTTTATCTATTCTTTCTTTTCCTGGAAGTTTAAGTTCTTAGTTAAAGATGATATGTGATATGCTGTGTGTTGATGCGTGATTTGGACACCAACTAATCGATACATGCGTAACGTTGTATTGACCAAGAGACACATGTGATTATGGGTAATACGTAGAGTAAATGCAATAATGAGAACTTTTTAAAGTGGTTCAGATGCTAAGGTAGCAAGTCCTACGTCCACTGATGGTTGTATTAGTATTGTGGGTCAGGTCGCAACAGCGAACTGACTTACAAATGATTAGGGAAAAGTAAATACAAAGGTACAAGAGAGAGACAGAGAAAGCTAGTTCAGCGTGTAAAATGGCCGAATCCCCTCAATGAAAGGGTCTTCTCTTTTTTATAGTGAGATGAGTGCAAGTAATCATCATTAAATCCGTTGGTTGGTGTGAATGTCAGGACAAAATCTAGCTTTACGTCACATTGCCCACCTTCCAAGCTGATTTCACGCGATTTGGAGCAGGGAATGGACACGTGGGAGCTCCACAGCGTTTGGCAGGCCTGACGTGCACTTACTGTTCTGACGGGAGCAGGTCACACTCCATCACGTGATTTCTCACGTCAGACCTTGATTTCCCAAGCATAACAGAAGTCCCCTAGTTTTTAAGGTTTGAGGATTGAACCTTGGAAACTAACTCATGCCGCGATTGGAGGTTCTGATAATTTCGACCTGAATGGAAGAAGCTCGGGATAGGGCCTTTTGCGAACGCGACCTCGCACAAACCTCGCCCAAACGACCTGACAGACATCACCCAAGCGACCTGACTTCAACGGGCGTTCCTTACCGTGCCTTAGGGTTGGAGATTCAATGAAGCTGTTTTTGCGCTGACAGGCGCTCCGCGCGTGTTAAGCGTCTGCCAGCCGCATTAAATGCGCTGTGTGCTGACGCGTTGTTGTTTTGACAGAGCATTAATTGCACGACACGCTCGAAACGACAACCCTCATCACAACATTAAATGCGGCGTGGAGCGCATTTAATGTGGAGAGAGAGAAAGGCGTTGTTTCGATTCCGAGGGGTGGTAAACGTCGGTTCATAGTCCATATAAAAGCCCAAATTTTTCAAATGATGCCACCAGATTCCCTTTTGCCTCGAGCGAAAAATCTTTGTAAACCGAAAGTTCTTCTTTTCCGATTGGCATCTCTCTGGTATCCGAAATAAGAACCGTCCTCGGTCACGCGCCCCAAAAGGTAAGGTTTCTCTTTTTTTTTTTTTTTGGTTTGCGATGCAATGGCATTGGGCCATCTGATGTTTCATTAGAGACGCGACGCTGGAGTCGGGTTCGAACCGTGAATGGCGGCTCGAGTTACTGTTAGGGTTTAGGGACTTTGTTCCATGCCGCCGTACGAGGCAACGTACGATGGCTAAAATGAACTTCTGTCCGTCGGTCTTGCAGACTGTGTGACCTGCTCCCGCCCTTTTCCTGGTCGATGACCCGTCAATATAGAGGTTCCAGGTCGATAGGTTCTGAATGGTCTCTTGGATGACTTCGCTAGGCTATTGCTCTAACTCATTCGGGAGATAAGAGAATTCTGAAATGAAGTCAGCGACAGCTTGCCCTTTGATGGTCGACCTGGGTTTGTACCTAAGGTCGAACTGGCTTAATTCCATGGCCCATTTGAATAGTTTACCAGAGGCTTTCGGCTTTTGGAGGACCTGCCTGAGGGGGTAATTAGTCATTACGTGGATCGTATTGGCGTGGAAGTAAGGTTGCAGCTTTTTGGAAGCGATCAGCAGAGCATAGGCTAATCGTTTCATTTCAAGATACCGCATCTCGGCATCCGACAGGCGCTTGCTCGCGTAGTAGACAGGCCATTGAACTTTTTCCTCTTCTCGAACTAGGGCTGCACTGACCGTGGACTGCGAGACGGACAGGTACAGGGGCAAAATCTCTTGTGGAAGAAGCTTAGAGAGGAGAGGTGGCTTCCCGAGGTGTTTTTTTATATTCTGGAACGCCTGTTCGCATTCGGGAGTCCATTCGAATTTCTTATTGGCCTTCAAAACATTGAAAAATGGCAAGCAGCGATTTGTTAGCCTTGATATGAAACGACTAAGTGCTGCTATTCGCCCATTTAGGCTCATGACCTGTTTTTTGCTGATCGGGCTCTCCATATCGGGCAGAGCTTGAATCTTCTCGGGGTTTATTTCTATCCCTCGCTGATTAACCATGTACCCTAGGAACTTTCCTGACAATACTCTGAATGAACACTTGAGAGGATTCAGCTTCATTCTGTACAGTTGGAGGATGTCAAACATCTCAGCGAGATGTGCAATGTGTTCTGAGGCGACCTGGGATTTGACCAGCATGTCGTCCACATAGACCTCCATTGTTTTTCTGATCTGGTCGGAGAACATTTGGTTAACCAGCCGCTGGTAGGTTTGCTCCAACATTCTTGAGGCCAAAGGCATAACTTTGTAACAATACAGTCCCCGGTCTGTAATGAAGGACGTATGTTCCTCGTCTGGACAGTACATCGGGATCTGATTGTATCCCGAGTATGCATCCATGAAACTTAGCAGCTCGTGCCCCGAGGTGGCATCCACGAGCTGGTCAATTCTTGGTAGAGGGAAGCTGTCTTTCGGGCAGACCTTGTTGAGGTTGCTAAAATCAACACAGGTCTGCCACTTTTCGTTTGGCTTCTTTATCGGAATCAGGTTGGCAACCTAGGTTGGGTAGAGTGCCTCTCGGATGGACCTATTTCGGAGGAGGTTTTCCACTTCTGATTTTAATGCAGCATACCGCTCCGGATCCATTGCTCTTCTTTTTTGGCGAACTGGCTTGGCCTCGCTGTCGACGTTTAATGCATGGCAAGTGACATCCGGACTGATCCCGACCATATCTGCATGCGACCAGGCGAACACATCGATGTTTTCCCTGAGAAAGCCTGTCAGTTCGCTAGCGAGCTGGGGATTGAGATTTTAACCGACTCTTAACACCCTGCTCGACTCTTTTGGGTCAACCAGCACTTCAGTCAGGTCCTCAACTGGCCCACTGGAAGGGCAATTTTGAATGCGAGGGTCTAGGTTGTCCTTGGCTGGGCCAGGTCGTGGATCGATCCTGCTGATCGCCATGGCCTGCCTGTGATTGCCGCGCGCGGTGCCCTTTCCTTTGTACGCCATTTGAATTGCTTTTACATAGCAATCACGCGATGCGCGCTGAGACCCGCTGACTTCCCCGATCCCCGTCGGGGTGGGAAACTTCATCTTCAGATGGTAAATTAAAGTGACCGCCTTGAACTGTCTTAGCAGAGGTCGCCCAAGAATCCCATTGAAGGCTGACGGGCAATCTACCACTAAGAACTCAATTACCTTGGTCACTTCGTCAAGATTGCCCAACGTGACTGGGAGTGAGATTGTTCCCTTGGGGAGTAGATGGTCTCCTGTGAATCCGTATAGCGGGAACGAGGCAGGCTTCAGGTCGGCCTCGTCCAGGTTCATCCTTTTGAAAGTGGATGCGAACAGGATGTTCACAGCACTTCCGTTATCCACTAACATTCTCTAGGTGTTATAGCGCCCTATCAGGGGAGTGATTACAAGGGCGTCATCATGGGGATGGTGCAACCTGGCCGCATCCTGCTCGGAGAAGGAGATTTCCACCTCCCTGTGAACCTTTTGTGGTCACCGGTCCACACTTATCACTTTAATGGGGTCGTGATGTGCTTCGCGATCATACCTTTCCTAGGCACCTCGCGAATTTCCAGCGAAATGCGGTCCCCCGAAAATCAAGTTGAGACTGAGCACCCCTTTCTAATCGCGGCGCTTCTTATTCGGCTCCCCCCGATCTTTCTCTTTCGAGGGAGCAGAGTCATCAATGTATTCCTTGAAATGCCCCTTCTTGATAAGTTCTTCGATTGCTTGCTTCAGAGCTCGACACTCATTAGTATGGTGCCCATTGTCCCGATGATATATAGCGACAGTACTTTTTATTATTTTTGGCTGTCACAGGGGTTTTCATGGGTTCGGGCTCCCCAAGCAGACTGGCTTCTTCGGATTTATCAAGAATGGCAGATACAGAGGCGTTCAGTGGAGTATATTGGATTCTGTCGCGATCGCGACGAGAATAGGAGCATAGGACTTTTTGTGCTCGTAGCGGGGTTTCTTCCCTTTTCGCTGATCGTCAATGTCTCCTTTGCGATCAGCTCTCCTACTTTCTCCCTAACCAGACATACTACTTGAAGCGCCGTGATCGCGATGACGGAGTGCCGCCGATGAATTTTCTATACGGAGATACTTTTCCGCGAGGTTATAGAATCTGGTGAGGGAGACATCGTCCTCAGCCTGTAATTCTTTCCATAGGTCGGTTTGCGGGCGAACTCCAGCTATTATGAGTGTTCGGATGGACTCTTCGGGGGCATGAGCCACCTTATTGAGTTCCTTGTGGAAACGGTCGATATAAGATTGTAGGGATTCGTCCCTTTCTTGCCTTATGTTGCTGAGATAGCTCAGAGGCATCGAAAACTTTCGATTTGCTTGGAAATGCCGTAGGAACGTCGTGCTCATCTGATGCCACGAACTGATCGATCCCGATGGGAGCGACCTTAACCACCGTTTGGCATGAGAAGTTAGAGTCACGGCCAAACAGCGGTATTTTGCAAGATCCGAAACCTGGTGGAGCTCCATCAGGTCGTTGAACTCATACAAATGATCCTGCGGGTCATGGTTCCCATCAAACGGCCGCATGTCGGGCATTCTGAACCCCGGTGGGAGTGGAGCAGCTAATAATTCTGGAGAAGGGGGATGCAGAGGCGACCTGGGCCTGCTCATTTTGCCGCTCTCTCAGCCTGTCCAGAGCTCGCTGTAGCTCCTTAATTTGTGGTAACGGAGCCAGTTGGGGATTGCTTTCACCCATGCGAGTCCGGCCCTCCGATTACGGTTCAGGAAAGTCCGGAGGTCGGACTCCTCTTCGTCTCGGTCGGTACTTCCGACCACTCTCGACACACGTTGGCTAGAGGCGTGTGAAGGCGATGGATGGTGCGGGGTATTTTCACGACTGTCGCGGTGGTACGAACCGCCCTGCGAGGTGTGGGAACCACCCGTATGATAGCGATCAGGATCGTTCTGCTGGTGGTGATAAGAATCGGCCTGCCCAGCACTTTTGCTTGGGTTCACCTACGACGTGGCATGGGACAGCTGGAGATTTAATTTTTTCCCGAGTCTTAGCTTTGCCGGCACCCTGCTCGGGGCACGGTTTGTGTTCGCTGGCCCTTTGGAGCCCGTAGGCTTGCTTTTTGCCACTTGCTTACCCTTACGTCTACTCGCTGCAGTGCTCGCGGCATGAGCTATTTTCCTTTGCCGTGCTTTCGCGCGACCTACAGGCATTTTTGGCGGTTGCACCGCCCTAGCTGTTCTAGATGGCACGCCTTGGTCCAAACGGTCCAGCTTTTGGTTGACCGTCTGGAGAGTATTGTCGAACCTCTCCAGGTAGCTTTTGATGGCGGGGTCAAGCTGTGAAGCTGTTGGGATATCCACCGCAGTAATTTGTGAAGCTGGAGGTATTCTGGAAGAGGTATCCCCTTGGGTCAAGGGAACTCCCTTAGCGCGCTGGTTGGCTTGCTCAGGTTCAGATTGGCGGGCCATTTGTTGCTGTAGAACCAGTAGGTTAGAGATTCTCCTGATGAAGGATGAACACTAAATCTGGCCCTCCTTCTAGCGCCAAACTGTTGATGCGTGATTTGGACACCAACTAATCAACACGTGCGTAACGTTGTGTTGACCAAGAGACACACGTGATTATGGGTAATATGTAGAGTAAATGCAATAATGAGAGCTTTTTAAAGTGGTTTGGATGCTAAGGTAGCAAGTCCTACATCCACTGATGGTTGTATTAGTATTGTGGGTCAGGTCGCAACAGCGGACTGACTTACAAATGATTAGGGAAAAGTAAATACAAAGGTACAAGAGAGAGACAGAGAAAGCTAGTTCAGCGTGTAAAATGGCCGAATCCCCTCAATGAAAGGGTCTTCCCCTTTTTATAGTGAGATGAGTGCAAGTAATCATCATTAAATCTGTGGGTTGGTGTGAATGTCAGGACAAAATCCGGCTTTATGTCACATTGCCCACCTTCCAAGCTGATTTCACACGATTTGGAGCAGGGAATGGACACGTGGGAGCTCCACAACGTCTGGCAGGCCTGACGTGCGCTTACTGTTCTGACGGGAGTAGGTCACACTCCATCACGTGATTTCCCAGGCATAACACTGTGGAAGTAAAATAATCCAATTAGCTCTTGTAGTTTTCTCTTTAGTTGACTCAAATTAATATTCTACTCCAAATTGAAGTTCCTTAAGAAATTTCCTGCAACTTATTTGCCATAACATTTCGATTATTGAATATAAGGGTAACATAAAGCCTCTTAGTCTCTATATATAGGACGCAATTGATAGCAATCTCATGATCATTAGTTCCTTCTTTTATTGTTTGTAATGAAACCGACCATGAGTGCGCTTCTTTTCCTTGAATTACTTGCCATTGCAACCATCAAGATCAGCTTCTGCTATGGAAGCTATGTCGGTTGCATTGAGAATGAGAGACAATCCCTTTTGATGTTCAAGCAAGATCTCAAAGATCCTTCCAACAGGCTTGTCTCTTGGAGATCTCATGATGGAGATTGTTGAACCTGGGATGGAGTTGTCTGCGACAATTTTACCGGCCATGTCCTGGAGCTCCATCTTAGAAATCCAATCGAATTATATTCTCACGGTTCAGAGGTCAGCTACAGAGTTGAATCAATGTTGAAAGATTCTGCCAAAGCCTATGATGCTTATGAGAGGTCAAGTTTGTCTGGTAAGATAAATCCCTCTCTACTTAATTTGAAGCATTTGGTTTACTTGGACTTGAGCAATAATTATTTTGATGAAGAAATTCAGGTTCCTAGATTACTTGGTTCAATGGGGAATCTAAGATACCTTGACCTTTCTGGAGCTGGATTTAGGGGAGGTGTTCCTCACGACCTTGGAAATCTCTCTAATCTGCAATATCTTTACCTTGGTAATAATTATAACATGCATGCTGAGAATTTGGGGTGGTTATCTGGTCTTTCTTTTCTGAAGCACCTTGATTTGAGCTTTATGTATCTCCAAAGAGTCTTTGATTGGTTATCAGTGATAAACGCACTCCCTTCTTTGATGGAGTTGAAATTATCTTCTTGTCAACTATATCAATTTACCCCAGTGCCCATTGCAAATTTGTCATCTCTTACCACATTTGATCTTTCATTTAACAATAATCCTAACAATTTGATATTTGGTTGGGCTTCTGGTCTTCGTAATTTAGTCTTTCTCGATTTAAGTGGAAATCAATTCAAAGGATCACTTCCTCATGAACTTCAAAATTTGACATCCCTTAAACACCTTGATTTTTCTCTCAACCACCAACTCAATTCTTCAATACCGGACTGGTTGTATAGAAAAAGTCATCTCGAGTTCCTTTCTCTTAAGGAAAACAACTTGGAAGGTACAATTTCAGGTGCTTTAGGAAACTTGACTGCTCTCTCAAGCCTTGATCTTTCCTCCAATAAACTTGAAGGAAACATAAGCAGGTCATGGGGGAGACTTTGCAATTTGAATTCAATTTTCTTGTCTGATGTCAAATTGAGTCAAGAGATACATGAAGTCTTAGACATTTTCTCAGGATGCGTTTCAGGGGTTTTGGAATATTTGGATTTGGAGAATACAAATCTTTTTGGTCGTTTGACTGAACAACTTGGGCAATTTAAAAATCTAAAATATCTTGATCTCAATTACAACTCCCTTTCTGGATCTGTTCCCATGAGTATTGGAGAACTTTCGTTTCTGAGATTTTTAGATCTTTCAAATAACAAGTTGGAAGGAGTAGTCTCTGAAATTCATTTCGCCAATTTGACAAGACTATTATCTTTAGGCATCTTTGGTAACTCATTAATTTTGAAAGTGAGTCCTGATTGGATTCCTCCATTTCAGATCGAACATCTGGGGTTAGGATATTGTCATTTAGGCACTTTATTTCCATCGTGGCTTCATTCACAGAAGCATCTAATTACTTTGGACATATCCAACTCAGGAATTGTGGATACACTTCCGATTTGGCTTTGGAGAGATTCCAAATTTAACTGAGGCTGATCGATCCACTTCTGTTGACTTGAGTTCAAATAATTTCTCAGGTTCATTACCTCTTGTATACCCTAACATATCTCTGCTATACCTTTCCAAAAATGCTTTGTCAGGTTCCATTTTTCAATTTTTGTATCACGAAAGAAACGAGTCAAAGACAATGATGTTTCTCAAACTTGAAGATAATCTTTTATCTGGGGAATTACCAGATTGTTGGATGAATTGGCAAGGATTGTATATGTTGAATTTAGATAACAATAAATTTACTGGTAACCTTCCATCTTCTATTGGATCATTAAGTTTGCTTCTGTCATTGCACCTTCGGAAAAACAACCTCTTTGGGATACTTCCAACGTCACTTAAAAATTGTACCAGTTTAATGGCATTTGATGTTGCTGAAAATTGGTTTGTTGGAAATATACCGACATGGATAGGACAAGAACTTTCATATATGGAAATTCTTACCCTTCGTTCAAATAAGTTTGATGGTGATTTACCAACAGAACTTTGCCATCTGACTTCTCTACATGTCTTGGATCTTGCTTACAACAGTCTCTCTGGAACCATTCCAAGTTGTATTAAGAACCTCAGTGCCATGGTGTCAATTGACTATGATGAAGGGAACTCTATTTTCTACCGGTCTACCTCGTACTTCTCCACAACATTGTACCTTGAGGGCGCAGTTCTTGTGACAAAAGGAAGAGCTAGTGAATATAATAATACTCTTAATTTGGTGAGAAGTATAGACCTTTCTGGTAACAACTTCTCAGGAGTGATTCCGAATGAAGTAACAAATCTTAAAGCATTACAATCATTGAATTTGTCTTACAATTCATTCAGTGGAAGAATTCCTGAAACCATCGGTGCTATGACCTCATTAGAAACTCTTGATTTCTCTGCAAACCAACTCACAGGTGAAATTCCACAAGTCATTTCAGGTTTGACATTTTTGAGTAACTTGAACTTGTCTAACAACAACTTGATCGGAAAAATTCCTCTGGGCACTCAATTGCAAAGCTTTGATGCTTCTAGTTTTGTTGGCAATGACCTTTGTGGATCTCCACTTCATAAGAATTGCACTGGTACTGTTTTAACTCCAGCCTATGATCATAGCGGAGGGAAAAACGATAATGAACATGAAGTGGATTGGTTCTATGTAAGCATGGCACTTGGGTTTGTGGTTGGCTTTTGGAGCATAATAGGTCCATTACTTGTGAACAGAAGATGGAGGTATATGTATTGTCAATTCTTAGATTGCCTTGGCAACAAATTTGTCAATGTTGTAAGAAAATGTTGCTAGCTAGATGTTGTGTCTGGAACTTTGTTGTCTTTATGTACTTTAATCTTATTGTAATGAATATAAAGGTATCGTTTTTTCTGATTATGATTGAAAGCTTCATTTAAAGTTAAATAGACAGGATGATGTTGTGGGAACTGGAGACTTTGATGAACATTATCCTCTAAGATAAAAATTCAGATTGTATATTGTTAGTTTCTTCATAAATACTCGACGTAGTCGGGTAACAGCAGATTGGTTGCATAAAAATATGGGTAAAATCTAATAGAATACCTCTGAAATTTATTCGCCGATTCAGCAAAATTATTCTCTGTAGGAAAATAATCTTAGTACTTGACAAAACCCTAATAAAATAAGCATCACAGAGTGTAATTCAACAGCGAAAAAGTAACAAATAAGAGAAAAATTGAATTGACAACAGATAGGCGACTAGAACAATTAGATATTATACATAGAGATGATTAGAGACGGGCTTGGAGGTCGAGGACAATAGCTACGGTTTCAACTTGGGACATTTTGATGGCGTTCAGATTGAGATAGTACAACGAAATTTCCCACCAATGTCTGCTGCTTCTGCAGATTTTACATTGGAGTCGGAAGAGTTTATTTCAGGTTCACGTGAATTAAGTTTTGGTACTCAGTCTTCAGCCGACCCTTTGTGTTTAGAATTAAAAAAAAATTAAAAGAATTATTTTTAGAAAGAACAAAAGGTCAGATGGGGCGATAGGGCTCTTGGATGTATTACTCAAGAGATCTTGAGTTTGATTCTCCTCAGTTGTTAATAGAGAGGGCATTAGAAGGTTTATCTGGTTGTTAACTTCAAAGCCTGGTGGATTAACTGAGGTATGCGCAAACTGATCTGGACACCATCGGTCACAAAAAAGGAAAAAAAAAAAAAAACAAAACAAAAAATTGATTGAATATGAAGAAATGGTAAAATAGATATGAAGGATTATGAGCTCACTATTCTCTGCAAATCAACTCCCATGGCGAAATCCCATAACATATTTTGGGTTTGACATCCTAGACTCACTTGAACTTATCCAACATAATTTGAGAAGGAACATTCCTTATAATACTGAATAGAAATGTTGTGTGATCATGTAAATCTAATTAATATTCCCACTTCTTACTAAACATAAATTCGTATATGCTGATTAGAGAATTATTTATTATAAGGAATATATTGTTTATATTTTGACATCCCTGCTAATCTTATTATTGATATTTTAGATAGGTTAATAAGTCGGTTTGAAGTGCATTGTTCTTTTTATAATCTCTTGGGTTTATTCCATTTCCTGGCACCATACCGCTGCAGCCGGCAGGACATATTTTAAAGAAAAAGAATTCTAATAATCATGGACACGTCAGCTCCAAGTTCACCAAAATCTACACAAGTAAAAAAAAAAGTCAACATAATTTCAGAAACCGATAATTTAGGCTCCGTTTAGTTGGTTTTTGGGAATACTATTATTAGTATTCCCAAAAAAATTAAACAGTAAAATACACAAAAACTCATAATATTATCTAATATTATTCAACTTTTTTTAAACCTCCTAAATTTGTTAATTTAATTAAATACCCCTAAATATTTTTTTTGAAATTGCAAAAACACCCCTAAACCCACATTATACCAGATTCCAGCCACCACTACCGGAAGTTGGCCAGAATCTGATATAATGGCACACTACCAGTTGAATTTGGTCGGTAGTGCGTCGATCTAGCGTTTTCTGGCCAGATCCACAGTGGATCTGGCCGGAAAAGGCCAGATCTAAGGCCAAAGATCTGGCCGTTGACTATAACCAGACGTCAACGACGACCAACATATGGTAGTCATTGACCGTCATCGACGGCCAACATATGGTCGTCGTTGACCATCAACGACGACTGTATCTTTAGCCGTCGTTGACGAGCAAATACGGTCAGATCTGGCCTTTGCCGGCCAGATCCACCGTGGATCTAGCCGGCAAAGGCCATATCGGCGCACGACCGGCAAGATCCAGCCGGTCATGCGCCGATACGGTGACTCCGACCACCCTCCGGCGGTGGTGGCCGACTGTGATTATTCAATGGGTGGGTTGGGGGTATTTTTGTTAACTTTCAAAGTTTTATTATAGGGGTGTTTAGTAAATAAACAAACATAGGGGGTATTTTTATTAATTTTCAAATCCTACATCGTAATACCCATCCAATTCAATTTTTTTTAACTTTTTTCAAAAAACTTTTCTAAAAAATGCAAAAAAGTGAACCAAACAGAGCCTTATCTTTCTCTGCAAAATTATATTCCAATTCAGAAGCTTCAATTCCAATCTTTCAAGCATAATAGGTTATACTGAATTCTAAACATTCATTTTGGGAAAATTTTAAAATGTCAAGTGTTTTCTATAATATTCATAAATAGAGCAAGTATAAAACTGAGTTCTTACACTGCTCTAATTATTATTTTTTTAATAATCAGGAGTGTTCAAACTAGTTTGCGCATACCTCAACTAATTTCTCAGGATCTTAGGATTGTCGGCCGAGTAAGAGCTCCAGTGGCCACCTCTATTAGCAGTCGTGGGGACTTGAACTCGGGAGACCATGTTAGATCTTCCTTTTGCTCTTTTACCATCAAGGGGACTTGAATTTGGGAGACTATGTTAGATCCTCATTTGCTCTTTTATGATCAGACCACCCAGTGGTGGTTATTTGAGTTCTGTTATGTTGGTCTAATCATTGCAAGGCAAATAAGTGAAAACATACAAAAGAGTAAGGTTTATTTACCAATAGGTAATTGATAACACATAACAACTTATGCACAATGTTGAGAAGAAACAGTGGATCTGAAATTCTTTATTTATAATATCAATGACAAAAATATAAGTCTAATTCATCTCAATCTGTATAAAAAAATACAACATTATTAATTAATAATGTTGATGTTTGATTTTGACACCAACGACTCGCACATGCAAAGTGCTAAACGGACTTAGAAATCATATGTGATAAAAAAAAATGAAATGATATTTAAAGTGGTTCGGATGCTCAAAAGCGAATCCTATGTCCACTGTTATTGTATTAATAGATGGGTAAGATCAGGTCGCGTGCAGCGAGCTGAGTTATAGTCTAGAGAGAATACAAAGAGAGAGAGAATGTGTAAGCTATTTTCGACTAAGATTAGCCAATCCCGCAAATGAGAGGGGTATCCTCTATTTATAGTAGGAGAGTCCAAGGTAATGATTACAATTCTGCAAGTGGGTAGGTGCCATGCAAATCCTTCTTTGCATCCCATTGGTGGTCTGCACAAGAAATATCCCAAATTGTGCAGGGGTTGGGCAAGTGGCTAATTCCTAACCACTCACAAGCCTAACACTCACCTACTACACTAACAAGAACCATGCCACTTGCGTTACTGCACGACATGGCAGTGCCTGGACGACACAAAACCTTCCTGACCCCTGATTGGCTCTTGCAGACGAGAGTCCACGTCAGCCCTACCTTTTCATGCATAACAAAAGTCCCCTAGTTTTTAAGGTTTAAGGATTGAACCTTGACAACTTCATAATTATGCTACGAGTTAACCTGTCCCGAATGACGCTTGGTTGGGTTGACCTAGCTGCAAGGAGGTCCTAGCAATGCCTCTACGAGCGACTTGAGATGACCTTCTTCCACAAAGTCGATGACCTAAATCAGACCTTACTTAGTGCAGTACTGATGTGCTTCACATCCCATCTGCGGTCTGCGACCTGATAATACTTAGTATATCTTTACCAAAGACAAATAATTGCATTGTCTCATAATCAATACGTGGCGAAGAGTGTTCTACCCAAACGACCTCTTCAGATGTTATCCGTTGCGTTGATAGCTAATCCTTTTAATAAAATAATCTTTATTCTGACAAACATGTCTAGTGCGCAATAAGTTCCAGCCATGCGCATTAAATACAAGCCATGCTGAAACGACATTCCCTTTCAAGGCATTAAATGCGGATGAGGGTGCATTTAATGTGAAAGAGGTAATTGAGTCGTTGCTTGGTTATTCCAATGGAGGGAAGTGTTGATTGACGTTCTCGACTTCTTCTTGCAGATTGATGACACGTGGTCGTAATCAATGGTGAGAAACGTATTCCGCCCAAGCGTCGCTTAACTTAGAGAAAATCAATCGTCGCTTCCTCCCCATATAAAACCCCAAGCTCGCCTCAAGCATTGTCAAGAAACTCATATTTTTAGAGAAAGAACAAAGCTCTCATGAGACCAGTCTCCCCATTTTCCAGTTAGTGCGCACCTTTTGTTTACAGCAAGAAGTCTGTTTCCACAGCCTAGAGGTAAAGAGGATTTCTCTTTTACTTTTCTTTTATGCTTTGTAGATAGCTTGTCTTAACGATAATGGTGGGTGTGAACTGTTTGGTAAACCTTTGTGGTGCATGTTTATGGGCAGTTGTGAGGAGAAGGCTTTTTTCTTTCATAAAGAGTAAGTGTTTAGAGCACGAATCCTTGGGGGTGGTCCCTAAGGGTTTTTTAAGGTTTTTCTAGGGTTTAAGAAAGGTACATTAGGGTTCTTTTGTTCTTCCACGTCATTGTATGGAATACTGTACGAAAATTGAGTAATCTTTGCGTGTCGCCCCTTTTTCAGACCGCAGGAGCAATGGATGCCTTAGCGAGGAGAACAACCGAAGGCAGTGGACCAATACACATTTAGCATGGATATCTATTAGCACAGAACGTATACAGCTCAGAATCCCCCAAAGGGAATGACTGCAATCTCTGAGACGATTTTCAAATGCGGGGCGCTGATTCCTTTCCACCTCTTTATTAGGTTGATCCTCGATCACTTCGAGGTCGCACCACTGAAACTGACGTCCAACACGTATATGATAGCTGTGGCTATATATATCACATGTGGCGAGAATGACCTTGACCAATTAACTGCACTGAAGCTTGCATGCTCCTATTATCTAAAAAAAGCAAAGACAGAGGTTCTTTCTACCTCTCGAAGCGATCTACGATCGAGGGAGGCATATTTGGCTGCCCCAGTAATGTCAGGGCCTACGAAACCAAAATTTTATTTTTTCAATATGATGGCGTCTACCAATTTAGGGAACCAAGTAGGTTTTCCCCTCTTTTACTTTGCGAATTTTTCTTTTCCTTCAGTTTTTGCTTTTTGACGAACTTTGTCGTCCCTTTGCAGGAAACAAGACAACCAGGTTGTCGGCTTTAACTGATTTCAACCAAATAGTAGCATTCGGTAATTTGCCCAAGCAGAGTCATGACGCGAGACTACTCGTGACAACCGCCAACCTGAGGAAGTATGATTTCTTCAATTCTGAAGCGTCTCTAGAACCCTTAGTTCGTAAGTGTCTGTGCACTTTTAAAAGTTCTTTCTTTTGCATGCAGTGACCTTTTTCAGTAAACATACTTTCATGTAGGGACCATGCCACCTAGAGTCCCATGAACATCGTCAAAGGCTAGGGGGTTCGTTTTTCCCTGGGTCGCCCTCACTGAGCTAGCCGAGGCAATCCCTGGCGATCGTCGCATCGGAGGGACATAGGTGGGAGTGCGAACACCCATAGACCGACTAGGGGAAGCTTCCCAGCCCGCGGCTACTCGTGCCCCTAAGTAGAAAACCATGGGTCAAAAAACTAGGAAGAGGAAGCAGATGTGGGCTAAGGAATCGGAGTTCGAGCCAGAGGGAACAGGGGTGCAGCCTAGGAGGTCTCAACCTTACTAGGCCTCTCGCTCGAGGGTGACCCCGAAGCCCGTGCGTGGCATTATAATAGTCTAGAAGTGCTCACGCAGGGGACAGTGGGAGGTCATGGTCCTCCAAAGGAGAGCGGGCAAAGAGCCAGTTGGCGAGGTGCTAACTCTTTCAGGGGTTGAGACACATGTGTTGGACTCCATGGGACAACTTTTAAAACATTTGCAGTCGGTGGTATACACCTTGCTGGAGTGCCAAGTTGCTATAGCTTTTAAAGAGTTTGTGGCCTCCAAACCTGCGGACTTAATCACTACCGTGCTCCAGGTGCAAGGTGAAGTAAGACAGCTCATCCATATCGAGTGTTTCCTAATATCGGTTATTTTCCATGCCCTTTATATTTTTTTAGAACAATGGAGTTTAACCCTTGTTTTTATTTCCCATGCAGTCCTTGCTCGCTTTGCACTTGGCCCAACAGAAGACCGACCTGGACTTTGCTGGGGGCCTTCACAAGCTGAGGGAAGAAAATACAAAGCTAAAGCAGGAGTGGGAGGTCATGGTCCCCCAAAGGAGAGCGGACAAAGAGCCAGTTGGCAAGGTACCAACTCTTTCAGTGGTTGAGACACATGTGTTAGACTCCATGGGACAACTTTCGAAACATTTGCAGTTGGTGGTATACACCTTGTTGGAGTGCCAAGTTGTTGTAGCTTTTAAAGAGTTTGTGGCCTCCAGACCTGTGGACCTGATCACTACCGTGCTCCAAGTGCAAAGTGAAGTAAGACATCTCGTCCTTATCGAGTGTTTCCTAATATCGGTTATTTTCCATGCCCTTTATATTTTTTTAGAACAATGGAGTTTAACCCTTGTTTTTCTTTCTCATGCAGTCCCTACTCGCTTTGCACTTGGTCCAACAGAAGACCGACCTGGACTTTACTGGGGGGCTTCACAAGCTGAGGGAAGAAAATGCAAAGCTGAAGCAAGACTTAGCGGCTATGGACGTGGAGGCAAAGACATATCACATCCAGGCAAACTAGTACCTAGTAGAGAGGAACTCTGCCCTTCATACAGTAGAGTTCCAGAAGGCCAAGTTTGAGAAGTGAGGAGAAGAGGTCAAAGAGCTCTATAGGACAATGGCCAGACTCACCAAAGAGTGTGGCGAGAAAGAGCAGGAGCTACAAGTGAACTCCGAACGGGCTAAGAAGGCAGAGGAAGAAAGAGCTTGGTTGTCGAAAAACACTGAGAAGTAGAAGAGAGCACTAGAGGTGGATCTCAAATTCTCCAAGGGGCGAGTCATTTCATTAACTGATTAGATAAAGCAGCAAAGCCTAGAAATTGAGAGGAAGGTCATCGATTGAGCGATCCAGACCATCTATAGTTGCGGCCAAGGAACCTGGGGATGGACCTTTTCGACCTGCCGATCGAGTATCAGGACATTCTCACTTCTATGGCGGATGTTGATGATGACATAGGGGAGGAGGAACAAGAGCCTCCTTCAAGGGGCGATCAGTTGGAGGAATATGTTCCAGAGGACCCAACAGCTGGCTGGGTGGTCAGTGACCAACGGGGGGATATCAAGGTCGCACCCTCAAGTCTGGATGTGGATACCAGTGATCGCCTCTTCCTGCTTCTGCATAACCTTGCCTTCAATCTTATTTCTACATATCTTAATTTTCTCTATACTGATCTCTATTACATAAATAAAAGAAATATTTTTATAGCCGTTTGTGATAGCACTTGTAATTTTGTGTACTCCACAAGACTAATGTTACTTATACGAACATAAAGCTTTGTAAAAATATCGCGACGAACAAGATCATACAAGATAATTTTGCTTAAAAACAATCTTATTTACAAAGTTTACAAGGAAAATTTTTACAAGGTGATTAAAAATTAAGAGCGAGTTCGGAATTACTGGTAATAGGAGCGAAGATGCTCAGCATTCCAAGCTCGTGGT